GTGAATACATCATGGAGTCTCTTTGCTCATATCCTTGTATATTTTTTCCTTGTGCGTGCAAATGCTGCGCTGTCTGTCCTCGCACCCACACCGTGTCATTACTCTGTAAACACTGGCATTGACTGTGACTTTTGACTATTACATAAGGAACATGGATTTCCAGCTGTCCGCAGTAAAAGCCCTGTAAATTCAAATGCTTAATTTTTATAGGCAGCCCAGCATTGACTGAAGTGTCTGCTTGTTATATATTTGGCAAGTGCTGCAAGTCTGAAGGGAAGCTGTCAATAGCAATCCCAGCTATTGATATGGCAGTGGGCAAGAGATGTTACTTGGCCCCCAACTCCAGCATCCCTCTGATCCCTCTACATCATAATTACATTAATATTGACAGACCCTTGACAATAGTCACATTACTATTGATAGGTGGTTGTCAATACTGTGTTTCCCCAAATAAAACATATTCATTCATAACTTGTAAACTGCTCGATAAAAGGCTTTGAAAAGACTATCGGACCCGGCCGGGTTTACTCTCCTGAGAGAGCTGCTGCTGTAACGGGGATTTCCACCACCTGGCGGTATATTTGCGTGCGTGTGTGTGTGTATATGTGTAACGGTGGGCTGATAGATTAGGTTTGCGCTGCATTAGAGCTCTGCATAGATCAAGGCTATGCTTGACATAGTCTCTCACACACACATGAGGACACATAATCTGCTCATTTTCTCCCATCAAGGGAAAAAACTTTCAGATTAGGCTAAACAAATAGTGCCTGTTTACTGGTTAGCAAACACACTCAGACTACGTCTCTTGCTCTTTCCCTTTTTTTTCTTCTTCTTCTTTTTTTAATCCAAACTCTATTCCCGTCACAGGCGAGGTTCTAGTCACTAAACATGGCAGCATTTCAAATACAGCTCAATGAATTTGTCATACCTGCTTACTTTAGCGTGAATTCACTCCTTTCATTCATTTGCTAATTCTAACTTAGTTGGACCATGTATCCTAGCCCTATTGAAACATCTTGAATACACAGATGGTCGTGTGCACCACCACAATAAACCCAAGCTTTGCCTGTGCACGTTAGAATTTTATTTTTTTCACCTCCTCAAAACGTCTAAAGTGACCATCATCTCTCTCCTTCTGTCAAAACTGCCATATTTACCCGGCTGAAATCTCTTTTAAAGCCTCGTGACAAATCCTGTTCAGCGAGACACAAAAGTCACTGTCAAAAAAAGGCCTCTCTGTCTCTCTCTCTCTCTCCCTCTCTCTCTCTCTCTCTGTGGCCTTCTTGCTCTGTCTCTCCCTGCATTAGTTAGTCTTTCACTTCTTTAAGTATTTCATTTGAGGAAATGGCAGATAAAACTGGAGAACTGTGAGCGGTTTGGAAACGTATGCAGCACTAAATAGCCCTGATGTCACAATGGCGAGATCCCATATGGAGTCGAATCGAGGGGGGAGAAAATTGTTCCACATTTGGCAGATGTTTACGGTGTACCAGAGACTGTGCCGTTAGCCTAATCCCTAGTGATGTGATTTGTACACACACCCCTATCTCTAGAGGGAGCGGGCACCAGGAGCCCCTGGGCTTCTGCTCCTGTGTGTGTGTGTGCAGAGGGGATTGTGTGTTTATATGCAGGGGAAAGCAGTCTAAGACCCCCTGCTCCTCTGCATGGCGAGGCTCTAAGGTTGCATTAAGGACGGGTTTTACATGTGAAAAGTGATTTCCCTTCCTGTGTATAAAGACAAAATGACCTTCCTAACAGGATGGGCTTCACCTCCGGAGCCTCAGCCCTTCCAATGACCGAGTTGTCCTTTTAATGGTTAAGCCTCGGTGTATATTATGTTCATGATTTGAATACATTAAATATGCTATTGTCTATACATTAATAACATATTAACTGATGTAAAGGCTTTAAACATTTATCAGTGTTGGGGGGAAATTGGCTTTTTTTTCTGATTTCGGCCCTTTTTTTACTCTTCCATTTCTGTTTTTAAAGCATGTCTAACCATTTGCGTGTGGCTGTCCTTGTTCACTCCAGGAAAATGTCATTTTCACAAAGTTTGCTTTGTCAGAGTAATATTTGGTGAATCATAGTATCATAATATCTAAGAACGATGCGCCAACATGAACAGAAACTACATTCAGGCTGCAACAAGAGCCCAGTCACTTTGTCTTTTTTTCTACTGATTAAAATATTGAAAAGAACATGTTGATATGTCCTTACTGTTTTCTGTTTTTTGGGTGTTTGTGTCTTTTTTCAGCAGGGTTGGGAAGTGAGAATGACCAGAAAAAGACTGCTAGAAGTCACAGCCCCCACTTTGATATGAACCCACAGACCCCGGTACTGCGTATCAGTCAGCTGGATGCCCTCGAGCTAGACTCAGCCCTTGAGCAGCTAGTGTGGACTCAGTTCTCGCTGTGCTTCCAAAACTGCCGCCCAGGCTTCCTCACTCCTCTGGAGCCTGAACTGAGGGTTTTGCTTCATTTGCTCCTATGGAGGTTCACACTCTATTCTAACAGTGCCACGGTGGGGCAATCTTTACTGAGCCTGCGCTACCACAGCAAATTTTCCCTGTCTCCCCGTTACAGGCCTTTATCCCCCAGGCAGAAGTTAGGTCTGGCCGTGCTCACTGCAGGGCCCCGCTGGCTCCAAGAGCGTTCCCACAGGCTGCTGCCGTACTTGGGTTTGAGTTCACAAGGATCTGTGTCTGAAAGAGAGAGCGGTTTGCTCCATCAGGGTCTCCGTAATTCGCTGACGCTTGTTGCTGGTATTGTTAAGTTCACAAATCTGATCAACTTCCTTGTGTTCCTAAGGAATGGCCGGCATCCCATCCTCGCCGAAAGAATCACAGGAGCTCAGACGGTTTTCAGTCAGCCAAATGTGGCCCGGGAGGTAAACTACAAGTACATGAACCGAGAACTACTTTGGCATGGCTTTGCAGAGTTCCTCATCTTCCTGTTCCCACTGATCAATACAAAGAAACTGAAGGCAACAATACTGTCTGCTGTGTTTGGGGGGGAAAGTGCAAGCGGGGAGGGAGCAAGGGAAGGGCAAGAGTTGTGGAAAGAGTGTGGACTGTGCGGAGAGTGGCCAACCATGCCTCATACGGTGGGATGCCAGCACGTTTTCTGCTACTACTGCATTAAAAGCAACAGCATTGCCGACCCTTATCTCACTTGTCCCAAGTGCGGGGCGGAAGCAGGGCAGCCCAAGCTGGTCAAGCTGGAGGTGGAGATGACTGACAGGTGATAATCATCTCACACACAGAAGAAATGAAATGAAGTTGCTATGAAATTTCAGATGGCTTTTGTTTTGTTTTGTTTTGTTTTGAAAGATTTTGTCATGTACAAGTTTATAATTAGACTTATCTCCATGATGTCTTTTCTGAACACGCATCAGCCTGCGATGTTTAATGTATATGTGCACATATTGACAGTCTGCTGCCCCTTCTGTTTTTCCAACTGGACTTTGGAAGGAACTATTTGTCTTTGGTGCACTGGACAGACTGCGGAGAACGACACAGAGCATATATTTGATGAGTGAACGTGTTGATTTATGCTCCAAATTGGCTCTGTGCTGACATGTGTGTATGTATGAGTGTGTGTGTGTGTGTTTGTTGAAATGGGAATATTTGTTCTGATGAAAAATGCAAAAAGTCAGCTGAATAAATAATGGGAGGAATTTCTGATGCCTCTCATCATGGCCAAATTAGCATTTGTTGTGTATTTTGTGCCTAAATTGTATTTCAACATCATTAAAATTGATAGAGTGCTACCTCTTGGGTGTTTATTTAGTTAAGTGGAGGAGAGAGAGATGAGGGAAAGTTATAACAATCAGCACACTTCTCTCTAGACAGGCCGGTCGTTCTAACTCCCATTATCCGTTTTCACAGCACCCCAACATGCTCAAGATCAAGGGGGCAGCCGGGGGCTTGGATTGACTCACGCACACACACTTGACAGCCAGCCTCTCTTTTCCCTTGGCCTTTCTCTCTTTTGCTGCATTTCCATCTCTCTTTCTGTAATCTCCAGGGCCCTCGCCCCTATAAGACTGTAGTAAACTGTACCAAAACCCTGGCAGTCGTCTCCTTCCTCGCAGGCGAATTACTCTCTAATCCCTGTAATGAGTCCAAAGATGCTTATTTATGCTGGAGTTAACCTCTACCAGTGAGCCCAGCCCCGGGCCAAACTCACCCCAGCTGAGTGAAGCCTTTCCTGGGCTGACAAGACAGGAGCGGGGTGGGGAGGCTACCTCCTAACTCTCCTTCCCATCCCCTCCTCCCTTCCCAGGCTCTGATCACTAGTACTTAATTGCTGATTGCTGAGACGATCAATCGGAACTGCAGGCGTGATAGAAAGCCTATTGCCAAGGAGCTTGTCTCAAATCTACCAGCTCAGAAAGACATTTGCACTCAGATGAGGTTGTTTCCCTTGGACAGAGAGGGTAAACTTAAATATCTGTCCTCGTGTGGTATATGAATTCCCTGAAGAATACTAGCTGGTTGCACTGGAAGGGCTGATTTTAAATTATTTATTACTGACCAGTATTTCAGCAGGCCTTTAGAGTATATGTCCTTGGTGGTAATGCAAGGCCAAAATTAATTATTTTTGTATGTGTTTGTGTGGTTTGGTTTGTTTTTTGTAGAGCACCTACAGAAATACTGAGGTAGCCCTTCACCAGAATAAAATAAAATGTACACCTTGGAGGGGGAGGGGGGAAGAGAGGGGGAGGGGGGAAGGGGGGGGGGGGGCACGTCCTACATGATTAGTTTGACATTATGTAAAAAACACAGGGCTCATCACATGGATACTTGAAAGTCCTCCTTTACATCAAGGACATTTTGACTAATGAATCCTACACTAATGCATATAAAGTCAGGGACAGGAGAGAGTTGTCAATATTTTATGCACTGCATTACATTAATGTGCGGCAAGTCCCAGGAAGTGAGATTAAGGAGATGTTTGAGATTAAGGATGCATATATGATCAACCTTAATGCCGCTGGGACACCGGGTCATTGTCTTTACATTCAGACATACTTAAAATCTCAACCTTTTCCACTGACATTACTCTACAACTCTAATTGAAGTCCCCCAATCCCCAGGAAAGTGAAAAGATAAAGAAGAAACACTGTATTAAAGTCTATTAATTGAGTTAGGCCATGGATTGCATTAGTTGGAAGTTGGAACAGGGCTCTGGACTTACGGAAGGTAGCTTGGGCTCAGTTAAGCCTATCTGTCTTTGGATCTCTTCTAATTCACAGGCTCCATGTGGAGAAGAAAAAGAGGAAGAAGCCCAGATTCCCAGCGGCTATGCAAAGCAATCTGCACATTCACACGCAGCCATTTAGGGAGCAAATTGGCCCTGTGCCCCCTCTGACGATGGTTTTAAGAGAAAGGGAATTAGGGCGTTGAATCCCTAACTAGATCTTCTCCTTTGATGAGCCTCTTCATCCGCCTGTCCCTCATCTCCATTTCTTTGATGTGAGGCGTTGATTTTCCTGATTAAATAGTTTTTAAAGTAAAAAGCTCTTCTCTGGGCTCTGTAATACTGGGTACTTTACTTTACCTATTGTAGGTCCGTTTGTGTGCATGCTTGTTGAATGGTCCATCTATGGTATTCTTTAATTGGAACAGAGCCCTTGGCTTGCAGATAATAATAAGGGTAGTACATGCATATTTTTCTCTGAGAAAGAATGTTATCATTTAAGCTTATGTCTGGCTTTTACCTCTTCATTTGAAATGGCTAGAAGGACTCATCGAGCCCTCTGAATTGCTAATTAAATTAAAGAGTAAAAACACATGTGCTTTTTCACTTCAGCTGAATTCCATCTCTGATCCCTCTACTGCTGCTGGTGAAAGCTTTTACCTGATTTTCAACAGGTAAGGGAATTGCGTCCCTCTTGTATTGGGAGATATTTCCAACAACTGACAATGCTTTTAAAGAGTGAATGACATTATTTTCATGCCAAGAAAAGATGAAACAAAGCTGCACCATTTATTTGATTTTTGACACCTGTGTTGTTGTTTTTTTATTTGTTGTTGTTTTTTTCTCGTGGCATGTCCAATATGTCAATAGGAGTTACAAGTATCTCATATTTCATCTATTCAATAAAAGACATGCCAAACATAAAACAGCAAAATTCCTCCAAGGTAGTGAAATCCTAGGTGTGCTGAAGTTCAGGGCTGCAGCCGCTGCAGGTACCTGTATTATGAGAGTTCTTTCAACACCTGCCGGGCTTTGGATACCACCGGGCCCAATTATCTTAGTCTGCCTCTTCTTCTTAACCACCTCTTCAGTCTAACAGGTCAGGGGGACAATCAATCACACCTAAAATAAGGAAGTAATTTCCTGAGCTTTTATCATGGTGTTGAGGTTTTGTCGGGTTGCATTTCACACCTAAAGAAAGACGAGGCGGCTCTGGTTTGGGAATATATATATATATATATATATAGATATATATATATATCTATATATATATTTATAAAATTGGCCTTTTGTTTTTGGTTCTGAAGACCCAGGATAATTTGGGTTTTATATATATATATGACGTATATGTACAAACCAATACTTACTGCACAGAAGAGCAAATGCAAAGATCAAGAAAATACACAAAAAAGTGTTCTATCTTATGATGCATGTCGATAAAGGTTGTGCTACTTTATTACTTTAAAAAGCTGTATCCTCCTCCACTGCATCAGAAATGCGCATCTCGCTCAGAGCATGCATGCAGACAGTCAGGGATGTGGTGGGTGTATTCTTGTAAACTCAATATTACATGCTTTGATATACTGCGTATCTATTTTTTTTTTTTTAATCTACCTTCTTCTTTTTTTAAAGTTGGACATTTTGTGCTCATACTGTAATTAATTTTTTTTTTTTTTTAAATATTCTCCAAGCTAATTGTGCTCTGGCGTACATTACAAGCCCAGTATTTTCTTTCTTTTCTTTTGAAGGACAAATATTAAACTGCAGCGGTTTAAAACGATCAGAGACTTATATTTGAGATTCAAATATAACAACCAAGTAATTCGAATTTTCTGGATTATATTTTACATCCACTTACTTAAAAAAAGATCAAAGCAACCTTACCGTACCTGTCCTGTGATTGGATGCTGGGACAGGTGTAGCAGAGATCTGGACAAATGACCTGAGGGTCTCATAATGGGGGATTATACTCTGGTGTGTTGTGTGCCTGCGGTAGCATCTTTCAAAACCAAGCCTGTTTTTATGTTTGTGTGCGTGTGTGTGTGTGTGTGTGTGTGCGTGTGTGTGTGTGTGTGTGTGTGTATATACATCTTCTAGGCTGTGCATGCGTGCTTGGGCCATCTCTGTCCTCCTACTGATGTCTAGAACAGACTAAATGGGCAATAATCTGCACACATCCCTCCAGATGTCCCAGTGAATTTCCTGTGGCTTAAGGCACCAGCTGAGCTCTTTGGAAGTCTCGATAACTTCTGCAAATGTGATTGAACCTCTGCTTCTTCAGGAATTTGGTGCAGGACACATTGTGCTTATTCCAATTTCCCCTCAAAGGGATGAAAAAGCGGGAATGTGCTTACTTCGAGTACTAGATCACCTATTGGTGCAATATTTCTCTTTTTAAAAGGAATTCTACAGCAGGATGTTGAGTATGTGGTGTGGTTTTGAGGTTGGACTGAAAACTATTCCTTTAATTCTAAGATGGAAATAATGTTTAGACTTGATTCATCTCTGGTAGAGATTGTTAAAACTAAGACTATAGATGTGTTTCCATTAATATCCTCTTTAGTTTTTTGTTTTTTGTTTTAGTTGCAGAGGTGAAAAAAGAGCTTTCCCCTCAAATGTCAATCAAATTTAATACTCAAGGCCCTAAATAGGAACGACCAAACACATGGTGCAAAAACAGCATGAATATCTGATCATGTCCTGCAAGCCTAACTAGATATTTAAAATCACTGGGCTAGATCTTGAGCCTAGTTAAAGAGGAAAATATCCAAAAACACAACAGTATAAGCATTTTCCTGGAAAGGAGTCTGATGTGGGGAAAGAAAAATCATGTAAAGATAGTATGGAGTTTCCGTCTGGGGGGAAGGTAACAAGAGGAATTTCTAAATTACATGTGTAGGCAACACTGAACAATGAGACAACAGCAGGCAGAAAAAGCCTAGCCCTGTTAAGTATGAGGCAGCCAGGTAATGACAATGTATTTGTGCATTTCAGCATCTCGGAATCTCCAGCTTGCCGGGGGAAGAAGGAAATATAATTTTTGTGGTTGCCATGGATACCTGCGTATGAAGGTTTTGCTGCGAGTCCCGACTCCTCGTGGAGATCAGTGAACCGCATGTGTCAGCCAGCATTAACCTGCTATGTCCAACAGATGCGCAGAGACACACATGCACAAGACGGAATAATAAACACGCACAAACATGCGCATTAGGTTCCTCATCTCAGCATAAAGTACAATGCGAACTGCAGCCAGCTAGGCGTGCGCACGCGGCTGCGAGCAGAGCTGTGCATTGTCAGAGCCGGTCTGGTGCTAGATACTCTTGAGTGAGCAGGGAGCAGTAAGCAGAAGAAGAAACACATGTAATGCTGTTCTGTTGTACTACATGAGGTGCAAACGTCCGCCGTGGAGGGGTTTCTGTGTGCGATGTTGTCTAGCTCGTTTTTCACCGCTGTAATAACACTTACCTGCCATGCTTTCATGCCATACTATTCCCTGAATTTTTGGTGAAGTGCACTGATGATTTCATCATTGTTATGTGTTCATGTATGATGATTTA